TGTCGCCTTATCGGAAAATCTCTTCCTCCACCCAGCGAGCTGTATCTAGGAAATATCCTCCGTGGGTTAATCGAGATTTAGTACTTGCCATTAAGTTGAAGTACGAACTCTACAGCCGATATAGGAAGTTCCCAACCCCAGCTAACCAGTCTGCCTTCAAAGTTCAGCGTAACAGAGTACGAAACTTATCTCGATCTCTCAGTCACCGTGACTATTTGGCATCTATACAGGCCAGCATGGCGTCAGGTAATCTTAACATGTACCAGTTTGTTCGTTCTCAGCGGAATCGTCAGCAGGATCGTGGCCTTCCTCGCCTCATTGATGAAGGCGGTCATCCAGTTTCTGGCAGTTTCGACAAGGCTACAGTCCTCAACCAGCAGTTCGCCTCCGTTGCTGTGCCGGATGATCCGTCGTTATCACTTCCAGCTCTTCGTGCCCACAGCCAACTTCATGAAACATTTGTTCAGGTCATCACCACAACTGCGGATGTTAGAAAGGCTATCGCCCGACTAAAGTCTCGCCGCAGCCCTGGCTTGGACACCATTACGAATGATGTCCTGAAGAAACTTGCCCCGTCGATATCGTACCCCCTCTGCCGTATTTTTAATGTGTCCTTTTCGACTGGTAAATTTCCAGCAGCATGGAAACTCGCGAAGGTTGTTCCGGTTTACAAGAGCAAAGGCTCCAAGTCACAAGCCAGCAATTACCGTCCTATCTCCTTGTTGTCCTGTGTATCGAAACTATGTGAGCGATTATTCTTTGATAAGCTTTATGCTCATGTGTCGCCGGCCCTTGCCCCAGTCCAATCTGGTTTTCGACGAGGAGACTCAACCACCATGCAGCTGACACGCCTTGTGCAGGACATTGTGGCCCTTCGTCATGACCACCAACATGTTGGTATGTGTTTTTTCGACCTAGCAAAGGCGTTTGACACGGTATGATTCCGTGGACTCCTAGCTAAATTATCTGCGATGTACAATGTTTCCGGAGCGTCTCTGGCGTGGATTACGGACTACCTAACAGATAGAACGCAATCAGTGTCAGTCGAAGGGGTACTCTCAGACCCACTGCCTGTGAAGTCGGGAGTCCCCCAGGGATCTATCCTGGGGCCTCTACTATTCTTGTTGTATATAAACGATCTACCTGACTGTATAGATGGTTTGTCACTATTTGCTGATGACACAGCCCTCATTCAGTTTGACGCCGACATTGCAAACCTGTGTACGAAGCTTCAGAATGGAATCAATGTTGTTCATAAATGGATGTTGTCATGGCGTCTGAAACCCAATATCTTGAAAACAGAAATAGTCTTTCTCCCTCAACTAGACCACCCTCCCACATTTACCCTTCCCGGACTTGATTCGGCTATTAACATTAATATTGTAGATACGCACAGGCATTTGGGTGTTGTATTTGACTCGCAATTGTCCTGGAATTCTCACGTAGATTTTGTATGCAACAAAGTTAGCAAATCTGTAGGTTGCCTGATGTCTCACTGCTCCCACTTGTCCCCCGAATGTATTCGTCTCTTTTATAAATGCTACCTCCTTCCTATCTTTCTGTACGGCGCCACTGCTTGGCATTCCCTGCTTAGTAAATCTGCTGTACAGACACTAGAAATATATCATAAACGTGTGTTGAAAATTATTTTTCGTAAACCCTCTCTTTTCCCCTCTACTGATCTATATAGTTTGGCCTCCACCAGCCCCATCTCTATCCTGTCGCAGAGACAGTCATGCGTTCTGGTCCATCGTATTAAACTCAACATTGTCCCTGAACATCTCACCAAGTATAATTGGTTTACTTTCGCACGGGACACTCGCAATGGCATAGTACTTCCCAGAGCTTTGTCAACTATGTTTACCAAATCTCCTATCTTCTCTGCATACTCGTATTGGCTCAAGCTGCCCATGGAAATGAAGACAAAATCCAATATTAGACAGTTCATAGACCATGTTAAATGTCATGCCACGTTGTAGGCTCGCTCGCCTCTTTTGCTAGCTTATCTCGCCGCTCTCCACCATGGTCAACATAGTGATACATTTCACCCCGCTGATGCATTATTTTCTTCCGATTATCATCTTCTTTCCTTCATTTTTTTTCTTCTCTTGCCATGGCTGGCTAACGCCCCCTCCTTTGCATTGGCTTCTGCCATTGGACGGTGAAATAAATAAATAATAAATAAATGGGCGAGAAGGCAAAACCGTACCATAAAAACTTTTTTTTAGGAATGGGTTTGCTCCCACACTGGAGCTCGCGCTATTCCGCCGACGACTTGACACTTGACCGACTCACGATAGGGTTAGGGTTAGAGAAGTTCATCGAACCTTCGACTCGGAAAACCTGCAAGAAAGCACCACTCCCTGCTCAGTACACAGTGTTTCGGCACCCCCCATCAGTTGAGCTTGAGTAGGCTGAGGAAGATTGTGCCTGAAGAGCACCACTTATAGTCCAGGCACAAACATCACCAGGGATACAAACTTACAGAGACACTCCGTTTCCAGCGCGACAAACACCTCGTAAACACCAGATGGCAGCGTGAGTCAGTTATCGCTCCTGGACGGTGAGAACAGACATAGAGGACCCTCGGTCATTCACAACGCTGTCACCTCCAAACCAGCTAGTCGCACGCCCGCGCTGGGCACAACAGTACGAAATAGAGGTTGGGACTTCGGCGATGATTTTGTTTAGGAATGGGTTTGCTCCCACACTGGAGCTCGCGCTATTCCGCCGACGACTTGACACTTGACTGACTCACGACTGCCATCCAGAGAACACGAGAAGTCCATCGAACCTTTGACTCGGAAAACCTGCAAGAAAGCACCACTCCCTGCTCAATACACAGTGTTCCGGGGAATTCACCCCTCATCAATTGAGCTTGAGTAGGCTGAGGAAGATTGTGCCTGAAGAACACCACTTACATAGTGCTGTCCAGGCACAAACATCACCAGGGATACAAACTTACAGAGACACTCCGTTTCCAGCGCGACAAACACCTCGTAAACACCAGATAGCAGCGTGAGTCAGTTATCGCTCTTAGACGGTGAGAACAGACGTAGAGGACCCTCGGTCATTCACAACGCTGTCACCTCCAAACCAGCTAATCGCACGCCCGCGCTGGGCACAACAGTACGAAATAGAGGTTGGGACTTCGGCGATGATTTTGTTTAGGAATGGGTTTGCTCCCACACTGGAGCTCGCGCTATTCCGCCGACGACTTGACACTTGACTGACTCACGACTGCCATCCAGAGAACACGAGAAGTCCATCGAACCTTCGACTCGGCAAACCTGCAAGAAAGCACCACTCCCTGCTCAATACACAGTGTTTCGGAGAATTCACCCCTCATCAGTTGAGCTTGAGTAGGCTGAGGAAGATTGTGCCTGAAAAGCACCATTTATAGTGCTGTCCAGGCACAAACATCACCGGGGATACAAACTTGCAGAGTGTTCTCTGGATGGCAGTCGTGAGTCAGTCAAGTGTCAAGTCGTCGGCGGAATAGCGCGAGCTCCAGTGTGGGAGCAAACCCATTCCTAAACAAAATCATTGCCGAAATCCCACCCTCAATTTCGTACTGTTGTGCCCAGCGCGGGCGTGCGACTAGCTGGTTTGGAGGTGACAGCGTTGTGAATGACCGAGGGTCCTCTATGTCTGTTCTCACCGTCCAGGAGCGATAACTGACTCACGGATTCACGCTGCTATTAGGTGTTTACGAGGTGTTTGTCGCGCTGGAAACGGAGTGTCTCTGTAAGTTTGTATCCCTGGTGATGTTTGTGCCTGGACAGCACTATGTAAGTGGTGCTCTTCAGGCACAATCTTCCTCAGCCTACTCAAGCTCAACTGATGAGGGGTGAATTCCCCGAAACACTGTGTACTGAGCAGGGAGTCAGTGGTGCTTTCTTGCAGGTTTGCCGCGAGTCGAAGGTTCGATGGACTTCTCGTGTTCTCTGGATGGCAGTCGTGAGTCAGTCAAGTGTCAAGTCGTCGGCGGAATAGCGCGAGCTCCAGTGTGGGAGCAAACCCATTCCTAAACAAAATCATCGCCGAAATCCCAACCTCTATTTCATAAAAACCTTTGGCAGGAGTGAATAAGCTCCCAGGAGCTTACATACTCTTGCTTCTGGCATGGAGAAATAGAATCAGGTAATAGAGCAAGCAAGTGCAACGGATGGTGGTAGCTTCACAAACAGGATAGCAGCAGAGGGCTCCTACTTTTTCTGTTGTAAACATCAGAAGCAGTGTCTGAGGTGTTGGCAGCGAGGCAGAGGGCAGTGACCCCTTTAGAAGCCGTAGCATTTTTAGGATTTCAAGGGCCCGAAACAACAGATTTAATAGTACACTTTCGTGAACAATCGTTTTCAGTCGGTTTGTCGGAGCAACTGGCCGGAATGTTCCCGGCAAATCGGAATAGAACAAGGCGGGGCCCTAACAATAACTTGAATAAGGATAACACTCTTTCCAGGCACATGCAAGTACATGGTAAACTATGATCAACTACAGTGACAGCGAGTGGAAAGCAAAAAATCCGTTAGAAAATCTGATAATTGTGCCACCAAAAATCGCGTTCAGAAGTCTGGTTTATGGACATCCTCATTTCTTCAGAGTTTGGGCACAATGCAGTTTCCTAAATATCAAATTCAATCACATCTCAATGAACAGCCTCACGCAAGACCTTTCCAATGGCCCGCCATTTGCGTAAATCGGACAATCGATCCCAACGTTATGGTGCTTAATTTAGTGGCATGGGCCTATGTCGAAAATTTTGAGGGGGTGCTTGAGCACCTGGCCAAAGCACCCCCCCCCCCCCCCCCCCCCGCTGGGTACGCCACTGATGTCAAAGGTCGATGCCATCAATCTATCTGCAATGATGGCGGTGTAGATGAGCTCGGGGTTAGCACGCCTGGGTTCATTTGGCTCATGTCACTAAGTAAATGGGGGCTGAGCAGGGAGTTTAGGTATTTGAGGCAATATTTCGTCAAAAGGAATCCAAATCCACCCTTTGTTGGACTTGACGTGGTAACTTCACATAACTTTTTCCTTCCTCTGCCTGAACCGGCTTGATCTGCGTTGCGCACTGCACCATGTGAGCAGGATGGGGCGCAGGGTGCCGAAAGCGGTCTCAACTCTCATGTCATGGAATTGACTGCTTCCAAATAAGACACGACTCGCAAGCAAATCTGACTTCTGAGCACCAGGAACACCAACTACGGCCTGGCAGCTCAAATCATGGGTCACATCTTGCTGAAGCCTCGGCTGCAGCCAAATGCAGCAAGGAAGTTCATTTCAAAATAGAGTTGCTGCCATCGGCTCGTCGTCGCTCTGAATTGTGGAGTAGGAGAAACGCATTCAAATGCTACTTAGAATTTCCCTTGCATCGCTGTTACTTTATTTGTAACCTCGATCCGACTGGGGTATGGAGCAGGAGGGCATTTAGTGACGCCACTGTCCTAAGCTGGTTGTGTTTCTCAACACAATCGTATCATATCTGAGCCGGCGGTAACGCGGATGTGCGAACATTGCAGTTACTTTACTGATCCTGTCAGCTGTGGACCGCTGTTGTCAACGCGAAGTGGGCGCCAGTGATCATGCGGTATTTATGGTTATCGGTACGTACTATTATTAATTAAAGGACTTGTTGCAAATATTTGATAATTCAAATGTACACAGCACTTCAAAATATTCGAATATAAACTTTCACAATCGAAGGTTCAATAGAACTTTATAGAGCTTGTGCACAAACGTGCTAAGACCGTACTTAGATGTAGATGGCGACAATGATACTGTTAGCGTTGCTGTGAGAGAGTTCCCATATCAGCGTGAGGGTGTCTCGGTAACGGCAGGGCAAACTTGCTATGTCATCGTCAGGACTTAGAGAACAAGGACGGTTTGCAAAGCACATTGATTGACTCTGACTTAAACCCTTTCCGTGCTAATGACGTCTATATTAATTCACATGTACATGTGAATGTTCCGAATGGCATGGCCGGTCCATGTGCTTGTATGCGAGTAGGTTATTCGCTCGTTCGTTGAATTGGTTTTCTAGTGTAAAATTGTTCGTGGACATCGTGGTTTGCCAGTTACATCACTATGCACCCACATACAGTTGTGGCCAGAGAAATCCGACCTCATGAATAAAGTACTCAAGTGAGCAGAGTGGTGTTTGTGATGCTAGGGCCGCATAGCCCTCGGCGCTATGATACCCATGAGGTTGGATTTCTCTGAGCAGTACTGCAGTCACTGAACACTATCAGTGTGCAGTACAGTGGGAACTGGCACGTCATACACCACCTCGTAAGAGTAGGATCTACTTGAACCCCAGATGTGAATCGTGTGCCTGTTATCAGTGCGGCTATAGAGAATGCTCCGCTACCTGCAGTGCCCAGCCATACACGCATCGAAGGCAGGCTCGGTTGGTCAGGCCATGGCTGGACCAACTTTTTGGCCACTGCTGAGGGGTCATGTGTATACCCTCCATATCATACACAAAGTTACTAGTATGAAAGGCCAGGGTATGGCCCGACCAATCACAATGGTTGCTTTCACCACCAGTCCTGGATGGAATGTATACAGTCAACTTCGCTAATAACGACTGCGGATATAACGACAATTCGCGAATAGCGACCGAATTTCCATGCCCAGAACAAAGTCCCATCTAACTGTATACATTTAACTTCGGATATAACGACTATCTGAATAACGACAATTCGCGTATAGCGACATGCTTTTAGTGCCCCGAGGTCATATTCACTGCTTGAATAACGACTTTCTGGGCTTTTGACAGCTATTTCAAGTACATGTACATGTACCTGTCAGTCAAGTACATGTACATGTACCTGTCATGCACCAGAACCTATGGTGATGGATATTACATGTATTAATATTATAAAGGCACACATGCAAGAAAATGCAGCCAAGGGGGGGGGGGGCTTTTTCTTCCTTTTTTATGTTGGCTTCAAAATTGTTGGATTTACCAGCACACCTATACATGTATGTATACAATGTACATGTAGTTGTACATGATTGCACAGTAATCATCATACATGTACATGTCTCTGGCCCTGTAGGTGGCTCAAAAAGACATATTTTTCAATTGATTTCCCTTGCATATTGAATTTTTAGTTCCTTTCAACTGCAATATGAAAATAAAGTACACATTGACATAGAGCAACAAAAGAGCTTGATTTTGATATGCATGTCATACTATACAAAATATGGGCTCACATACATTCAAATGGCACTCCGGGTATAAGGACACTTCGCGAATAAGGACACTTTTCTGATGCCCCGCCGAATGTCGTTATTGGCGAAGTTGACTGTATAGGATTTAAAGACTGTTCTGCTGTCCTCACTCTGCACAAACCTCCACCAGTCATAGTCTATGTCCCAGGTGGATTGAAGCAGCTGTTCCGGAGTTACTTCCAGCTTGAATTTATTACTAAGGCCGTGTTTACAAAACGCACAGCCAGTTTCCCGTTTTCGATGTCCTATTTCTTCAGGGTGCCTTTCCGTTTTGGTGCGTTTACACGAATCCAAGCCGATCTGAGCACGTCTCCGTTTGTATCATTTTCACGCATCCATATGGGCGGAAAAGATCCGCGAAAGTTCGTCATGTGAGCAGTGTTGTAGTGGGACCACCAATCACAGTCAAGTGATAGTTGAACACTCCTTATGACAGAGCACTCCTCACATGGTGAACATTGTCGGATCCTTCACGCATCATGTGGACGCGCAAAACGATAAAAACATTAAAGTGACAAGGTCCAACAGTCTGTTTCGACTGTTCACACGTCCAAATTTACGCAGAAGAGCACTCCAGGGATGAATTTATTGTCATATTTTTGCATAGCAGTTTCTGCTATACAAAATCACAATTGTGTAGCAGTCTTTGATTTTAATTAGCATTTTTCTTTGAAGGTTGGGTGTTTACCATATTGTCCTTCTTGAGAGTGATGCCTGAAAGCCCATTTGCAAAAAAAACGACTGAATCATACATGTACACGCAGATTGATATTGTCTGCACCACATACACTGCACTGTATGCATGTTACTTGATAGCACAGGCTAGGCATGGATAGTCTGTATGTATCGCAGTTTTTTGCGAGTCACGGTGACTTTTGAATAGCAGATGATCGATTTTGCATCGCAAACTGCGATGCGATACAGGATAAATTCATCCCTGCACTCCCAATTTAATTATGGTAAAAAAGGAGAAGGACAAAATGTTACGAGTTATGACTAACTGTCCACCAAAGTAACCAGATCATATACAGTCAACGAGTGCTTTCCTTCCCCTCTTGGACGTTTCCGAACCCGTGCCTTCCAAGTTGGAAGGTTGTTGGTTTACGCCTTGGAGCTAGGTGTCAGGTCGCTGAATGTCTCAGTACTCCTTGTCAGTTTAGTGCCATTTTGTCGCACTCGCCGACTGTATATGATTTGGGTACGTTGGTAGACAGTTAGTCATAATTCGTAACATTTTTCCTTCTCCTTCTTTACCATAAGAAGAATTCCGTTTCAAATTCTTCAACTTTGGCCAGCGTTTTGGTTTCTTTCGTTTTCTGTACAACCTTTTTGCTTTGCTCTGTACACGAATCCTGCATCCGGAAGAATTTTGTTGCGTTACCATGCCCAGCATTGTCGTGTAAGCCAACCCTGAATTTGGGGACATTATTGTGACATCATAACTTGCCCCGACTAGGTCAGATCTGTGACGTCACGGAGCTAGGCTTTGTACGAGCATAGACGAGAAAATAGCATAATTGTAGCTCTCCATTGTCACGAGGAACGGTCAGACGTTTCTCAAACTTAGATATGGACATATGACTCGTTATCAGTATCCCAAATGGACAAATGTTCGTCAGGAATTTCGCTGCTGTGGAAATAAATAATTTGACTACCATATTTTCCAGAGATTTTTATACATACATACATACATACATTTTCCAGAGTATAAGCCGGGGCCCGCATCTTTTGTCATGAAGTACAGATATCTACCCTCTTTATCACCATGAATTTGATCAGCCTAACCGAATTGTTTTGGGTTTAGTACCATGATAACTGGTGTTTAAAGTGCGGTTTGTACTCCAGAAAATACGGTATTTCCTCCCATGCCAAGTGTACATGTGTCTGCATGCTGAAACCTCACTAAACTACTGTATATGGAGCAGGACAAACGCACATCCTCAATAAGCCCGAAGGAAAACAAAACAAGACAATGCAGATAGAGCTGTGAGTTTGAATTATATCAGCTACGCATTCATGGCTGAACGTATCACGGCACGGTAGGTCCAAATTTCCAAGAACCTTTTCCTTGTGGTACTCTTCAGTTGGAATAGCATCACAATAGCATTGACAAGAAGAAACATGTGGCTATCTGGAAAGAATATACAAAATATTGCAACATGGAGGACACGTTTTGCCGTAACCTGCAATCATCGTTTCACATTTTACTCATGCATGTTGACATATGGGAAATGCTTACAGCGAAGCTGTCCTCCTTGTTGCAATATTAAAGCTGCTGTCTCCGATACATTTGTTTACTTTGAAATGTACGAAATATTGTGAATTAGCACTACAGTGTAGAAAAGAATCAATTGAGAATATGGTCCGAAAAACAGCATGAATTACGGAAAAAGAGGGTGATAGAAGTGAAGGAGTCCTTTTGGATGTGCAAGTTTGTTTGACACTCTTGAATGTACAATCATGTACTTGTGTATACCTAATACTTTCAATTAGGAACATTACGAGCGAGACTGAATCAGGAATCGTCGCAAGACTGGTGACATTGTTGATTGGACAGTGTGTATACACTGTCGGCTTCTTGTCTCCACCCTCCGTCCTCTTCATCGCCATCACTGCCATCATCAACCGCTCTGTCTACGCCCATAAGCAGTTCCTCTGTACACTCAGCGCCCATTAGTGGTTCAGGAATTCCGCTGACTCGTCATCACGACGTGTTGTTGTTGGATTTATTTAAAGTGGAGTTCCAAAACAGGCTTGTGGTCCCATTTCTTTCATACAACCTCTATAATGGTGTTGTTCAGGCCAAACCTCACCAGGGATACATGTACATGTACTTGTACAAGTACACGAGTGCACGAGCACACGTACAGAGACACTCCGTTTGCAGCGCGACAAACACCTCGTCAACACCATTTACCATTTTAACAGCGCAATTAAGTCAGTTTCACTCAAGGATATGTAGAACAGGCATTGATATGACGACCATCAGTCGTTGGAAACGCTCTCATCTCCAAACCAGCTAGCCACAAGGCCTCGCTGACACAACAGAACGAAATAGTACTATTAGTAGTAGTACAGGTACATGCACTTGTAGCGACGGCTTCAGCTACTGGTTGCTCCGCACACCAGAGCTCGCGCCTTTCCTGCCGACTTAGGACTTGACACTTGACCGACTCACGACTGCCATCCAGAGCACACGAGAGGTCCACTGAACCTTCCACTCGGCAAACCTGCAAGAAAGCACTACTCTCTCCTCAATGCACAGTGTTTTAACAGAGGAATTCACCCTTTACACGGCTTCAGACAGTAAGTTCATCAGCTTGAGTAGACTGAGGTCCAGTGGGGGAACATTGTGGCTTAAGGGCAGTGAAGAGCACCACTTACTACTATAAGTCTTCTAATAAAAATTGTTTTCCAGGCCACAACATCACTAGCAGGGGCGTCGCACACGGTACGGTCACTACGGTATTGACCGTACCACTTTTTGCCCCAGATACCCCGTGAATCAACAAAATACATTGATCTGGGATCTAAAATTCCAAAACATTTCGGCTCAGTCACCACTCCCCCACGAGTAAATTGCACTTCAGATGGCTGACCGTACCACACTAAAATACCTTCCGACGCCCCTGACTAGGGATACAAACTTACAGAGATGCTCCGTTTCAAGCGCGACAAACACCTCGTGACTAGCTAGCAGCGTGAATCCGTGTGCTCATGGATGTGTAGAGCAACTCAGCCCCGGCCCCGGACAAGCGGTGAGGCGCGATGGTCATTTTCAGCGTCCACTCAAGGAATGTAAAAAGACTAAGTAAGAGTCATGTAGTAGATCTACTAGTAGGCTATCTTAGTATTTTGTGTGGCAGGAGCTAGCGCTCCATCTACCTTGATCGACGGGCAAAATGAATGTTTTCACTTTTGTACTGCACATGTGCACAGTCTGCAGTCATCATGGTCATGCCATGACATTCCTGTGCAAGTCGCAACTCCTGTTTTGAGTTGTTTTTCTTCTCTCTTTTGCTTTCCCTAATACTATAATAGTAATAGCAAGAGTACATAACCCCCCAGAGTGTGCAACGCCTGATCCAGCTCTGCATAGGGTCTTGGTCGAGCGGAATCGGATCTTTGCGTCATAATACCGTACACAGCTGAGGGGAACCCGGGGAGTCGCGGGTACTCTTGGATCAAAAACAATGGTGCCCTGCCTCGGGACCGGCCTTGCGCTGGTGTGAAGTGTACGCATGACATCAGAAGATCCGATTCCGCTCGACCAAGACCCTACACAGAACTGGATCGGCGTTGCACACTCCGGGGGGTTATGTACTCTTGCTAATAGTAATAGTTGCTGTTACACTCACTGATCCCTATGCACAAATATACAGCATTCCCTCACTAGTACGACCATTGTTATTAGGCTAGGGCCTGTTTTGGACTTTCCACTCTAAATAAAGAATACAAAAAAAAACCTTTCCTCCACACGCTAGTACGCTGTAGACCTACCTGGGAGTCGTGAAAGCCCGGTTTTCACGACAGCCCGGCGCTAGCACTAGCAGTTCATGAGTGGTTGTGTCTCGAGTAAAAAATAAAGCAAACGCACCGCAAAAGCACATCGCAAGACTGGTGACTGGTCCTGTTTATAGTTTTACAACTAAAATTACTTACTACTATAGCCATGCTCTTCTTTCAACTTCGTGCCACGGTACTGTCTGAATATGGCAGTCACCAATAGATGAACTACAACGTACGTAGAAGTAAACGATGGGGAAAGAGAGGGAGAGCTCATGGTGAGCGAGAACAACGCCAACTGAGGCCCAGCAAGCACTCGCCCGAAAGTAAGTCGTTCAAGAATAATTCTTCTTGTTGACCCGGTCCTTGTAGTACAGCGTGGCATCAAGCCGCTCACTTCCTTGTCAGTCTTCTGCTCGAGCGCACTGTAAACACGCTACAGTAGGAGCGGAGGCCGGAAATGATTTTGGTCGCTAGGTCTTCTAGTAGATTACAACAGCCAGCCATGGACGAAAGTGTACATAGTCATTTACTGGTTTGTCATCTTGCAGATAAAAATAGCGTTTCATTACTGACGTTAGAGAAGTTCTGCATTTCGAACTTCGGAATATTTTTCGACTTCTCGGTTCGAGAGTCGAAGGAGCAGTCGAACCTTCGGGAAAGTTAGTTGGGCGCGTTCGAATTGTCACTCTTTGACTTTTCGAAGAGGTGGCTTATTGGCCTCTTCAGAAAAACGAAACTCCACAACCTCATCCGATGGGATGGGAGAGGTGGATTAGTTCCGAAGAGTTTTGGAATAGCTACGTGTAGCCTAAATGGTCGATCTGATCGGACGTCATTATCGCCATGACAATTCCACTGAAAAACTCTAAAAATTAATGATAGAAACCGTTCTATTGGGACACTTCAACTAATCTCTTTTATTTTTTGCTCGAAAAGTTGATGAAGACAATTCGAACACACCCTTAGTTAGTTGGACGGAAAGAAGCAGTTGAGTCGAAAGTAATTAGTTACTACGTTAGAACGCGTTCTTCGAAATCATTTTTACATTTCCCTGCGTATGCCATTTGTATTGCCCATAGTAACCACACAGTAATCAGCTAGTACTACTGGTATAGTGCAGGTTGTACTAAAAAGAAGAAGTCGAAAAGAGCTTTTGACACGGAAACAGCTTTTGACATGGAAAAACAGCTATTGACATGGATAAACACGCGGTTTTCGAACAGCGAAATGCGCAACCGCCAAATTCAACTTGTTGCAGTCGGAAATAATCTCGACACTCAAAAAGCAGAGTCTCTGAAAGTGCCAACACACAGAGTGTGCAACTTCACAATCAGTGAACGTGTACGCGTGTGATTCGTTGACGCACTTGTACAACGTCGGGCCCCCCCCCCCCCTCCGGATAATGAGGGTTGTGATCAGCCTTGTCACTCATGGTCCCACTGTTGGCTATGTTCACCGGCATTAGAAATACAAGTAACTCTCCACAACCAATTGAAGAGTACATTGGCGTAGTAGTACTAGTAGTGATAGTAGTGCAATGGATGTCTCGCCACAGTCATATTGCACGTCCTCTAGTACAGAATTACTGTTTTCTCAACGGATCATGATGAACAATACGCCTGACTGGCAGCGGAGTAGGGTGCAAACGTGACTAACGCTACTCTGGCAGGACCTGTAAGGAAACTAATGGAGAACACCGTACATCATGTAGAAGCGGCATGTTACGCTGTGTACTGCCTTCAAAACCAATTTAGAATGTCTGTTCCTGTCTATCCCCTTCTAGGTGTGTGTACCTCTCCTCTTGTCTTCCCCATAATTTCTACAGACGAGTCTACGGTTTTCAGTGTTGTGAAAAAGTTGAACTGGAACATTGTGTTTTTTCTGAAAGCTGGGAATTATAATGGATGTCCATCCCATAGCATGAAAAACAGTTACCTGTCATTTACACTTCACCCCCCCCCCCCCCCCACCCACCCACACACACACACACAGCACTCTACTCGCACAAGCACCATGTAAAATTATACTAAAATACCACCATGGCATTCCTGAATACAAATCAGGGAAATACCTGGGACAGAATCGAAAAGGGCATGTGTGTGGTAGAGGGGTGGAGGTGTAACATGACAAGGAATCCAGGGAGTAGCGAATAGCAAGTCCCAAGAGATCGCTTGCACCTGTGGCTTGAGAAAATGAATGGCGAAGCAGTTGACTGTCGTGGATGGAATATTCCATTTCGTATGCTCACTGTATCTGTTGTTTATTTATTTGCTGTGTGCTTCTTTCTGTCTTTCAAGGTTTGGGCTTTCTCTGCTACTTCGTTCCTGGCATGTTGGAAGGAATCATGTGGAGTACCTATGGCCGAGGATCCATGTGCACCCTGCTCCTGCGTCAATCAAAATCTTTCGAGTTGTCCCGACCTGCTAAACATGTGAGTTTCACATGTATGCTAACTTACCATTTTAGGCTGAATTTCGACTGTTTCCTCTTCAGGGTTTCCAAGCAGCCTGTATCTTTGCGGCTGCACCAAAATAATGTTTCGATCAAGAGAGTGAGAGACTGAAAGACTGAGAGAGAGAAAGACTGTAAGAGAGAAAGAGAGAGAGAGAGAGAGAGAGAGAGAGAGAGAGAGAGAGAGTGTGTGTGTGTGTGTGTGTGTGTGTGTGTGTGTGTGTGTGTGTGTGTGTGTGTGTGTGTGTGTGTGTGTGTGTGTGTGTGTGTGTGTGTGTGTGTGTGTGTGTGTGTGTGTGTGGAGGGGGGGGGGGTGTTTGTGTGTGTGTGTGTGTGTGTGTGTGTGTGTGTGTGTGTGTGTGTGTGTGTGTGTGTGTGTGTGTGTGTGGTCGGCTGAACATAGAGCACAAGAGATTTAGTGGTTCAACATACCGTAGAATCCCGCGGATAAGCCCATGGGCTTATCTGTTTCACAAGGACATTTTGGTGGGCTTATACGCGGACATGGGCTTATACGCTGACACCAATATTGTGCTATTGAAAAGTACCAAGGAAGTGAGAAATACATTGGTGGATGCCACTGTGCAAACAAAAACAACCGATGATTGTGTTGAAATGTACAAAAAAAACTTTAAAATACCCTACATGTTCTACCTACATGTACATGGTACGACCAAGAGTCCATAATTTATGGACTCTTGGTACGACTTAGGCCCATGGGCTTGTATGACGAAGCCTTGTGATGTTCGAACTTTCCCTGGGCTTATGCGCGGGCATGGCCTTATACGCGGGTGGGCTTATCCGCGGGATTCTACGGTAGGGCACGTATGGTGGCTCAACGTCGAGCACAGAGTGATTGAATGATTTAGCCCAATTTGCCAACTTTCTTTTGCTACTAGCAAGTGTCCGTAACCTCCATGACAGCTTGAATATTGTCACTCACCTTTGGGTAATCCTGAATATAGATTATTATATTCTTATACTCATTACTTTATAAGAAGAAATGATGACCAAGGAACTACAAGTTACGCATTACTCGTCTTTTTTTTCATGCAGATCCCTACCCAATACCAACATTCATCACCTATCCCCCAATCTTTTAGGACACTCTACTGGCTTACAACAATTGTAAGTCCTTGGAGAATTTATCTTCTCCTCCCTGTCTTTTTCTTCTTCCTCCTCCTGCTCCTCCTCCTCCTCATCATCATCCCCTCCTCCTCCCTCCTCCTCCACCACCACCACCACCACCACCACCACCACCACCACCATCTGCTCCTCCTCCTCCTCCTGCTGCTATGTTGGCATATGTGTGATGAAATGATGATTGCAATGTGCATTGATATGTGGACGCACATATGAATTCACTTTGCAAGAAAAATTTCAAATGCTTGTGCAATATGCTTTTCTGATGAATCAGAAATGTGTGCACTTCTTCAGCTCTGTCCTCTGGTATTCACTTCTTTTCAGTAACTTCCAGAGGGGGGGTTTAACCGGATGTGTCTAACTCTGGATTTGATGCTGACTACAACCGTGCAGCTTTGTGTTGGAAATTTTACGGAATTCTGCCGAAATTGCAGCTGTCATGTTGGATCAATTTGTTGGCTGTGGGTGGGTTGTGTTTCTGGCGATAGTATATTTACCGTAAAGTCTTGTATAAAAGCCGCACTCAGTGGCAGATCTAGGGGAGGGCGCGGTGGGCGCGCGCCCTCCCCTCAAACGGTTCGATTTTTTTAGTGCATGCACATGGGCAGTTGCGCAAGTGTTTGCACATGCTGTGACAAGTAGTTTCTAGTGTCAGATAAGAAAGTTCTTCTGAACACGAAGTAGTTGTTCTCTTAGACTTCGGTTGACTTTTAGTTTTGAAATTAGTGTTCAGTTGACGAACTTGTATAGAGGTTATGCGAATGACGTCACGAGGAGCGCCAAGGCGGCTGCGAGTGGCAGGGGTGGCAAAATGAAGTCGTTTCTGCTTGAACTATTTTTTACTAGTCTTTGAGAGGAAAAGTAAAATTTGTTGTTGGTTGTCGACATATCGTTCCTCACTTTATTTCCGCTGGTGTCTCGCTTGCTGAAGTTTTTAGCCTTCAACATGCCGAAGAGTTGTGCAGCCGTCGGATGTAGCAATCGTGCCGATCCTGGAACGGCTGTGAAGTTTTACAAGTTTCCTGTAGCGGACGAGCGGCGCAAACTATGGGTTGCGGCTATGAGACGAGAGAATTGGAAGCCAACTGACAGTAGCAGGATCTGTTCAGACCATTTCGTAGGCGCAGAGAAGAGCAACGATCCACTATCTCCCGCTTACGTTCCGAAACTTTTTGAACATGTCAGGACTCCTGTAAAGCGTAAAGCGGAGAGGGATTTGGTGGCATATGAACGCCGAGCGAAGCGGAAGCTGACGTTCGAGGAGAGCAAGACGCAGACACCAGTGAAAGTGGACGCCTCCGGGAATGACTTCACAGAGGCAATGGCAGATTTGCCTGGTGCCTATGGTGCAGAGGTAGAGTCTGATCCTGTAGCAGTCTCCAGTGTCTCATCGCAGACTGACATGGATATGGAGCACTTGACGCGGCTGGAGGAGACAAACAACTGTTTGGTCCTGGAAAGCAAACGGATGCCACACGCTCCAGGACAAGGTGACACCTTGTCAATCGAGTCGTTTGAGAAAGACAACGCGAAGGTGCTCTTCTACACTGGTTTGCAGTCTTTTGGGACCATGATGGGCATATTTGAACACGTGAGGAAGAGAGTTCCACAGCACCACCGCCACACGCTCTCTCTCTTCCAGCAGTTCTTGATTGTTCTCATGAAGCTTCGGCTGAATTGTCGGGACCAAGACTTGGCGTACAGATTCGGCATTCACCAGTCGACCGTGTGCCGGATTTTCCAGCGCTGGATCCGGGTGATGCATGTGATGCTGGGACCACTTGTCAAATGGCCGGAAAGGGACGAACTACGCAAAACTCTGCCACTTGAATTTCGTAAGCATTTCCCGGGCTGTGCTGTCATTATTGACTGCTTTGAAGTTTTTTGTGAACGACCTTCTGATCTGATGGCAAGAGCTCAAACGTACTCTCACTATAAAAGCCATAACACTGCAAAGTTTTTGATTGGCGTAGCGCCACAAGGTGTCATTACATTTATTTCGCATGCATGGGGCGGGAGAGCCTCAGACAAGTTCATCACAGAGCACTGCGGTCTGCTTAGTCACCTAAATCCGGGTGACCAGGTGCTGGCTGACCGTGGTTTCACTGTTGAAGACAGCGTTGGCATGTTCTGCGCAGAGTTGGTGATGCCCCCATTTACGAAGGGGAAGAAGCAACTCTCCAGGCTGAAATTGGACAGTGCTCGACAAGTGTCACGCGTCCGTATCCATGTGGAGCGAGTGATTGGAATGCTTCGCCAGAAATACACGATCCTCTCTGGCACTTTGCCCATTGCTTTCCTCATGCATGACGATAAAGCTACATCATGTGCATTCATTGACAAGGTTGTCACCGTCTGCTGTGCTCTGTGCAACTGTTGTGAGTCCGTCGTACCTTTCGAGTAAATTACATCATGCCGCTTTGTCAGCTGTAATGATTGCTATATTATTATTATATTATTATTCAAATTTATTATTAACCCTTTGTGCTTTTTGGACTGTCTGGATATACCGGCAATTATATTTCTGTTTTACCTATTCTGCAGTTGCATGCGCATGTGTTCACCTCATTGACCTCGCTTGTTTCTAGTTTCTTTTGTCTGGCTAGCCAAGCTTGCTTGGTCATGGCAACGCCAACAGACTTATAATAATAGTAATAATACTGGCTTCTATCATCACTCACGACATGCCTCCGTTTCTTGTTGCATCAATATAATGACTCCTGGTCCAAATAGGGACAACACAATATAATAATTATGAATAGCCCTGAAACCCAACTTAGGGTGCTGGGTAGTGCGCGATGTACCATCAGAATAATTTTATGTAGTATGCCCAGCACCAAAGAACAACTCAACTTATGCCAACATCACCCGGAAGAGACGTAAAGAGCGAAGTGTTTGATGTGTAATGATGGAGTTCCTCTGTTCACATGCATAAGCAGTGAGTGGTCTTCACGCATGTCCTGGGACCCACAAATACGAATCAGCATTATGGTCCTTCAGAGATACATGCAAGCAAAGAAATACAAGAAAGGTAACGGAAATCGTTGTGAAAGCCCAGCCACCGATTGTATGCACACACGTGGCAAGTGCAACAGCAAGTACCGTGGAAGGCACAGCAGAACAAGTTGAAAATGCAACTCTAGAAATACCAGAATAGCAGGATCACTTCTCAAATGCTTGAGACTTGGATTTACAAATGCTACGACAAAAATGACTATGTACATGGAAAGTTGGTTGCACCCCATACTAGAGGTCGAGCTTTTCTGCCGCCTTGACTGGACATTTGACTGACTCACGACTGCCATTCAGAAACTTGACAAACTCACGACTTCCATCCAGACACTTGACTGACTCACAACTGCCATCTAGAGCAGAGAAGAAGTCCCTCGAGCCCTCCTTCCGGCAAACCTGCAAGAAAGCACCACTCCCTGCTCAATACACAGTGTTTCGGGGAATTCACCCCTCATGCAGTTGAGCTTGAGTAGGCTGACGAACGTTGTACTTAGCGACCAACATTCCTATAAACTTGTCGCCGAAGTCGCTACCACTGTAATTGTACATGCATATCATTATTTAGTGGCAGATTTAATCTTGCGACACTCCGGGCAGGTCCAGTTCTTGCGCTTTGGCTTACTCTTCAGCTGCAAACAAGCCATGTGGAACAAACGAATACTGCAATCGTTGTTGGAACATCGCAGTACCTCGCCAGCCTTCACAGACTTGCAGTAGCAAAACTCCGGAGAGCGTTCTTGATCCGCAGTAGATGTTGTACTGGCAGCACCAAGTGGTTCCGAGGCTGATGTAGCCGCTGAAGACGCATCGGCAGGAAGAGTGGAGAACGTCTTAGTGAACCATTTCCCAACAAGCTCTGGGAGAACAGCACACTGGAAGAATTTCTTGGCACCTGCTACCGCTTCACGGATGAAATCTGTGTCTGCACAGATACGCTCCACAAACAGCTGACCTTCATTCCACACAACAAAGTCACAGTACTGCACCTTACACACCAGCATCTGTAGCTGTACTTGGTAGTAGTACATGTGGTCTTGCTTAAGATGGAGTGCTCCGCCGGACTTTACTAGACAGAACTTCCCTGAATCGGCAGCATCATGCAGGCTACTGTCTCGGCACCCGTACGGGCACTTCACTTCCACCACGCCGTTGCCACAGCAGGAGCACTGCACAAGGGAGTCGGGAGTAGCGCCAAGATATGGATAGTCCGGATGAATTACAAAGCCACTGGGCAGTACTTCAACCTTCTGATGTGTTGCACTGGCATGTTCACTATAGTTGTCAATTGCCTTCTGCTCGTGATCACATCCCCATTGTGTGGCTTTGCTACGAAACTTGTGTGCCTCAGGGTAACACACAGAGCGGACTAAGGACGCAGAGGGCTGGCTAATATCCGTGCGAACAGCAGACTTCAACTTTGAAGCTGTGATCCGGCCGGCGCGAAATTCAAACCAGGCCTTGGAATCTGCCTGGTTCCGCGTAGCCTGTTCCACAGCGCGTGCTTCCTCCTCTGAAACACAGACCACTGGAAATACTGCCTCGCAACGAACGAGCAGGTCCCCAAAACTAGCATCCAGCATGTCTGGTTCGTACAATAAATCCAAAATGGGTGGATATCCCTCCGGCTTGGAAGGTACGTACCTATC